CTTATCCTTAACATACTTATGATTTAAATAGTTGGTGACTTTACCAATGTCATCCTCATCACACATGGATATATTTGCTTAAGTATGGGCCTAAATTTTTTTATATAATTCACACATATTGAAAAATCAAAGTCCATTTTATCTGATATGATTAAAATTCTTTGTATTGATAATAATTTGAAGTTTAATCTTCATATTCTTTCTACCGATAATGCTTTGGAATCAAGACTTAGTTCATTATGTGATGATAATAGTGCCATTCACCAAATTTCATAACAGACTCAAAAGAATCAAGTTGTTGAAGGAAATCACCATCAATTGCTAGAAGTAACCCGAAACTTAGCATTCCAAACAAATGTTTCTTATCAATTCAAGGGTTGAATATTATAGAGCAAAGTCTGAAACTTAGTGCAATTTTAACTACATGCTATCTAGTTATTTGAATCCCATATAATGTCCTTCGGAATGTCACCCATTCTCCACCCTATAACCAGAGAGTCTCCTTCTCCTTTTACACCAATAGTTTTAGTTGTCATTACTTGGTCTATTTCTTCCAAATTGATGAAAAACTCTCTCTCCTATCTCCTCTAGCCACTCAGAACATTTTTATTGAATATTCTTATTCCTTAAAAGGCTGTCATTTACTCAATAATTGAAATCACTATTTTGAATTGCCTCCGTTTGAAAAAGTGTTTCCATGGCAATAGGTATGAAAAGAGAGCCAATCTTTACCAACAAAAATTAAATTTGTTGAACAGTCGATTGAATTCCAATAACAACATGAATCATTAGAGAAAACTGGCCCCTAAAAGGCCCAACTACCAAAGATGTTGAGTTATTCGAAAGCTTGGATTGAGCAATAAGGAGAGTAACTATGGCTGCCACTTCTCTCTCAACTTGTACAGCCAAGTATCCATAAATAATGCACAAGATTAATAGCTATTGATGTAACAATGATTGTAACATCCCATTGAAATTATGGACTGAAAATAATAGTGGTTTGAGCTTTGCCGTGGATGGAACTTTGCACCAGCTTGCATTGCTCCATTATCCAGTAATAATGCATAAATATCAATAGTTGGCAATGTAATTATGATCATACCATCACATTAAAAATTGTTTCGTGCACTATTACCTTAAAACAAGCTTAAGAATCCAACAACTTTCATTGATAGCCTGGGGTCCACAAATGATGAATAAAAATCAATAATCATGGTAGTGCGTCAAAAATTATAACATTGCATTGAGAAGCGCATCAATGTGTTTGAGCTTCCAAATTATCCCAGAGTCACACCAAAGGATATCACTGATTATTACGTAACACATGATGATAATAATACAAAGATAGCAAATCATCTAAAGTTTCCGAGCACTAAGTAAACATAAAGCTCCCATGGCCCCAATTCACACATATAGTATTAAACTTATTAATTAAGTTGAATATCCTAAAAAAATGATACGGGAATTAACCCAAATGACGACAAAAATATAATTTTTATTATTAAAATCAAATAGATGTTACAACCAAAACACTCAGAACTAAGAAATAACGAAAACATAACGCAAACCCAAACTATGGCATAGGTCAGGGCTGGTGAATTTGCGGTTTAAGGGAGGGGAAGTAGTCAGTGTGAAGGATTGGAGGTCTGGTTGGCGGGATGAGAGAGGATGGAGCAAAGGAGGTAGTTCGTGGTTGCAGCTGGTACACACGGGAGATGGAACGATGGCTGCAGCAAGATGCTGTGGTGGGAGGCAGGGGAGATGGGAGGCGAACTGCAACAGGAAGGCTGCGGTTGGAGACAGAGGAGATGCAAGGTGGGTTGCAACAAAAAGGCAGCAGTTGTCTGACAGATGGCTGCAGAAAATCAGCAGAATAGGTTGATAGGTGACTACAGTTGGTAGGAGACGGGCAGCAATGGAGGAAAGCAGGCAGAAAAAAGGGAATGTCGACAATAAACAACCCCCGCCCCCACAAAAAAAAACCAAAAAAAAAAAATCTAATATAAATGAGAGAGTCAATCAAACATGGAGCATTACGTCCATAAGAAGTCTCGACTCCAAATATTCTATAAAAATTATAATCTAGCATCTAAGAAAAATTGGTTAAATATAAATCTGCCTATCCAAGTAAAACTACTATACTTTCATCCTTACAAAGAAAGCTTGAGTGGAAATTTTGCCTAAGCAATCAAAGTAGCGAAATAAACAGAAAATAAATTTTAAGACTTAATCATGTTATGTTAATATTGAGGATAATTAGACATTATTTAGATGTAGCAACACTGCATGAGACAAAAACACCAAGTTTTCAAAATGTATCAAATGAAAATTTTATTAAAGCCTTTTACGAGAGCAAATTAAACATGCTTTTTAAAAATAAAATATTCATATAAGTACTACAAATCAATCCATAAAAAATGACATTCATTTAATTTTAAAGAACAAAAAGTAAGGTCAAATTTTATGTTCATATGAGATGTACTAATGTTTACAAGAAATATGTAGTAGATATTAAGTGATGATAAAAAAAATATAATATCTAAACTGGTTTTACAAGTATTATGCAATGATTAGACACCCTAATTAAACAAATTTTGATATCAAAACAAATCAAATTCAATATCACTTAAATTTTCTTTTACCACAAGGGGTGAATATTACTTTATATGTGCTAAATTAAACCCAATTATATAAAAAATGAAGTAAAATATAATCATATCTAGATCCGATTCAATAATATTTAATTAAATCAAACAAAATTGAATCTAATTATTTAATTTAATCATGATAAATTTGTGATAGTTGATAATGATGGAGGTGATCGTAATCATATATATCACAATAAATGGAAATGATGATCTTACATAATACCTTTGGTACATTAAAACCCTTCCCTAACGAGTTATCGAGGTGCAAACTACTAGAAGTATTATATCCATAAAGGAGACTATGGAATAGGCTCTCGTGCATTCATAAAATGTTAGAAAGCATGAGGATGATATGGGCTATAGGAAATGATGACTGTCGACACCGTGAGCAATAAATAATTCAAAAACCAGTGGAAGATCAAGCAGCACTAGTTGTAGCAGAACAATGACAACAAGCAAGGCCAAAACTGATGGCCATAAACCTAAATTGATTAGTAGTAAATATAATATAATAATAGGATCGGATGAAACCTCATAAAAGTACAAAAGGTTTAGAAGATCTTGGCCAGGGAAAAAAAATTAACCAATACATTAGCATCAAAAACCATATTTAACAAATATTAAATAACTTATAAGCTTAATATTGTGGCAATAGAAGGTAAGTGTAAGATGGTTATGGCATATTGCAAAGATGGGAAGGCAATGGGAATTTGTATAAAACATAGGTTGGAAAATCTTGCCCAAGTACGTGTTGCACATTTGTATGAACAAAATCAAAGTTCAACTTACTATTATGAGAATCAACAAAACAATAGCAGTTGTATTAAACATCTTATTTTCGCAAAAAATAATTATTAATGTGCTCGAAAATTTTTTATGCAAATGTTCATACCAACAATATGTAAATGTTGAAACATGGCACAAGTATAACACAAAATCAACATTTTGAGTATAATAAATTTTATTATCTAATTAGAAGTATTAGAATATAAGCTACATGGACTAAATTTAGAATAATGAATTTATAAATAAGGCTAGAGTTGATGCTCTGATTCAATGTTTCTCTCAAATGCTAATTTGGGTTATCGTCAACAACTAGCCCTCTAAACCCAAGTCTTCCTCATCAATAGTAGGATCAATATGCTTCACACCTTAAACGGGTTTAAGTGATTTAGGCCTTGTTGGTGTTGGACTCATGCTCGGGTTGTAAACGAGTCGAGCTCAAGCTGGACTCATGCTCGACTCGTTTGAAATTGGCTTTTATTCGAAATTGCTCGTGAATAGCGTGTTTGTGTTCGGGTCAATATACATATTCTTGTTCATGTTCGAGTCGGCTTCATCTTGAAATTTGCCCCTTTAATTAATTAAAAAATAGATGAAGGGTGTTGAATTCGAACCTTAACCACTTTATGGAATAGAAGGCGCAGAACCACATTACGACATAAGTTGTTTTGAATTAAACTTAGATATAATTTTATATATATATATATATA